AGCTACCACATGTTTTATGATTGCATTTTGCTTCTCTTAGCATATGTTCATACTATAAGAATTTTCCTTCCAACATGCAAAAGGTTTACTGATTTGAATTTTATAAAAGTTTTCAATAGTTTCTTGTCATTTTATACTAAAAAAGCCACTAAAATTTTACTGTCTTGTGTGAGAGAAAATAGGCCATCTTATATAGATACATTCAGCAATTATTATTTTATGTCTTCGAAAAAATATCTCAACTGAAACGTTCACTGCAGTTCTTCAAGATTCATGATACCTATATTACTGAGACATAATTCTAATTTTAGCCATGCTCTTTAACAATCTGAAATAGGCCTTCCTTAACCATCTTGGAAAACATTTTAAGCATTGTTGAAATAGGTCCTCTGAGAATCCAGCTACAACAGAAATCAGCAACTGGGTCTGGACTATCTCTCTGTCAGATGGGCTTTAGGTGGCGTTCACGCACACCTCAGAATGGAACCATATGTACAGGATTTAATAAATATTTTGATGAATTTTTCCAGTGGTATATAGCCAGACTATAATCATGACTTCCAAATCCTATGCATTTAGTCCATTCCAAATAACAGAATGGACTTACTAACAGTTGGGTCAAAGAGTATACAGCTGAGAGTTCTTTGTAAGGCTCATGCAGAAACAACTTTACTTTTTGGAGAATAAGATGATAGTTTATTTTTTTCAACATCTTCTGAAAATAAGACTGACGGAAGTTCATTTCCATCTTCACAAGAATGACATACTTTACATATCATATCTTCCATCAAACTATAGCAAAATTGTGGTGAATGCTAACCGGGAACATGGTGACAACAAGATACGTGAAGTGACATTTCTGCATGTGCTTAACAGTAAATTAGTATTTCTGCAAAAATCTGAGAGTTGGTGTGAGACATGGATTTCAGTTGTGCAAATCAATCTACTTTCAAATATCTGTATAACGGATCTTAAAGTTTCCACAACAGAGTCTTCAAATAATGCTGTTGACAGGATGATCTCACTTATTTGTAGTATATAGAATTACTGAACAAGAAAAAGTAATGTAGTAAGAGGGAGATGCCTAGATCATTCTTGACCCCAGAAAATAGAGAGAAGGACAGAGATGGAAGAAAATCAAGGGTGGAAGGGAAGAATATGAGAAAGAAAAGTAACAGAGAGTCAAGGGTCAAAGGCCTCAGTTACATCAGTGATGTGAGAGGGGGATATAGCCACATATCCAAAGCATGGACTCAACAACACTGACAACACGAGATCTAAAGTACAATCACCAAACTTTGAAAGGTGCCTGTCAAGGTGGCAGGTGGGGGGTGGGGGAACAGGTAACTGGGCCCTAGAGGGAGTATGAGAACTTTGGTGGAGGGAAGCTTATACTGGTGGTGGGATTGGTGTTGGAATATTATATGTTTAAGACTCATCTATCAACAACTTTGTAAATCATGGCTCTTTAAATAAAAACAAATAATGCTATTGATCAGTCATTCTCAACTTTGGTTCACTTTTGGAAGTGTCCCCTACTCTATGAGACCTTCTATGGTGGGGGTAGGGGAAGTTTGCACCTCTTTAGCCCATGAAATTTGAGCAAACTATAAAATGCAGTGACTAGGAGCTAACAGGTCAATTATGGTTGGCTCTCTCCATCTCCAAGATTCTTATAGTAAATCTTAAATAAGAAATTCTCTTTAAAGTATCTGCCTCTGGAGCACCATCATTTTTTGTGGAGGAAAAGGGAAAGAGTAAATCTCAGCAAATGGCCAGACCTTAATTGGCAATGGCAAAAAAAGGTACCTGATGATGCATCCAACATAAAGGTCATGTTTTCATTCCCAGAGACGATGCTGTAGGTTACTCTTCCATTTCTTCCTTCATCTGGATCTTGAGCAGTTACGTGGTGCACCAAAGAGCCCACTGGAGCATCCTCTTTGATGTGGGTGAGGGGGAAAGATGTGAAAGTGGGGCTGTGGTCATTTACATCCAAAATCACTACCTTTGCGAGCAGTGATTTCTGTCTCCGGTCTGTCACATTGACCGCCTGATCGGTCACTGTCACTGTCAGGACAACATTCGGAACTCGCTCTCTGTCAAGCGGGGATGCCGTGACTAAAGTGCCAAAGGAGGGATGGATGAGAAACAGATTCATCCCAGGGGGGTGGGATTCAATGGAGTACTGTATTCTGCTGTTCAGAAAGCTGCCGTCCCCATCTCTGGCATGGAAGACATGCACGAGGGTCCCTACGGGAACATTCTCTTCTACACTGATCACAACGAACTCCTCTTGGAAAGAAGGGGAGTGGTCATTCTGATCCTCCACGTCAATGCTAAGGAAGACAGTGCTAGTCAGGGGAGGGTTTTTGCTATGGTCTTTGGTAAGCACCCTGAAAAGATAATGCGATGCCGTTTCATAATCGAGTTCCTTGGAAAGGAACAAGTCTCCAGTCAAGTGGTCAACGTCAAAGTGTCCATCCTGGTCCTCGGCCTCGATGCTGACATGTATCTTTCTATTATGATGGTGATGAGGGTGATCAGGTGACTTTATCAAACTCATTATTTTTGCAGGTTTTAAGTTTTCTGGTATAACTAAATGTCTAATATTCTGGGAAATGAGAGCTCTCCCTCTGGACAGTGGGATCACCTGAAATCAGAATAAAAAGGAGTTTATAATTTGGTACAATTTTTAACAGATGAGTCAATATGCAGGGCATTATTTTGTGTGATATCCATCTGTTCATTAGTAAGAAATATTTTTTCATGTTATAGGATTCTGGCGTGCCTCTGGAATACTGAAAGCTATACAATATCTAGGTGATAAGAAACTATAGAATTTTCTGTTTCTCAGTTTGGTGAAATGTGTAAAATAACCATTAGTTTAGTAATGCCATGCTATATTGTTAAGCCAAACCTCAGTCTTATCACTGGGGTGAGAGAGTGGTATAGATAATTTCAAGTAACTAGAAACCCTGAAAACTAATCCATGCATAACAACATCTGTGATCATTTAAGTAATCATGTGTAGGGGCTGGCGCACTTGCCTTACATGTAGCCGACCCAGTTCCTATCCCCAGTATCCCATATGGTCCCTTGAGCACTCTGAGGAGTGACACCTGAGCACAGAGCCAGGAGTAACCCCTGAGTATGGCTGGGTATGACCCAACTCTTCACTCCCCCCCCCAATTAGTCATGTGTCATTGTTTACTTAAAACAAGAGTCTTGAGGCTTGGTTTCTTCTCCTAGTTCACATAAAGTTCATATATTCTTAATCTGTATACTTAAACATGTATTATTACATATACGTTCTTAAATACCTGCATATGAATATATTTTTTTCTTATTTGTCAATCATTGTGAGGTACAGTTACATACTTACAAACTATCGTGCTTGCGTTTCAGTGTATATGTGTATATCTCTATAACATATTGATATTAATATAATTTTTACATATGCACAAACAAAGCACTATAGCTTTACATACTTAAATTGATTTTTGATTGGTTGATGTTATTTTTATTAGTATGGATGTTTCCCATAACATGTTTCCTCATTGCAATGAAAGTAAGTTCTCAAAATATATAACTTGAATTCTCTAGGTTTCAAACTAATTACTAAAAATATGATTTAATAAAGTTTCTCCTACAAATGTAGCAAAGCTTGCAATTAAGAAAAGAGGAAAAGAAAAGGCACTTCTGGTTCATCATATATAAAGCTATGCAGAATGTCCATATAATGATGAATGTAAAATATCTCATCGGGAACTGAAAAGGTCAAAATGAGCAATGATATGTTCCTAGTAATTTCTTAGTGATAATTTAAAGGCATATATATACATATATTTATATATATGGGTGCACTGTTCAGTCATATTTCCCTCCCTGCCACTGTTCCCCCTGGCCACTGGAAATCTACCTTCTTCAAGCAAACAAAAAGAAATAGACCCTCAATTGCACCCAAAATTACTAAACCCCCACCCTTGCTTTTGGACCCTTCCAGTACCACCCACCCACGTGGCAGGGCAGGGGTTCAACATGAGACCGTCCACTTTATGTGTCTTCACTCTACACTGGTATAAAAATCAAAGGAAACTCTTAGGACACCTTCTGCATTGCATAGTGATGGTGGAATATTACCTGAATAGTAATAACCGCTTGTCCTTGCAGAGGAGGCAGCCCCTGGTCGTGGGCAAGTACAGTGATCCTGTAGGAAGGTCTATCATCGAATGAAAGGACAGTGGCTGTTCTTATTTCGCCACTATTGGCATCAATCCTGAAGTGATCAGAGCTATTTCCTATACACATGCAGAAAATTAAGAAATCCATATTAACTTATAATGTAGAAAATAGAATTGACTTAACTATATCTTATTTGCCTTGAGCTATGTGAAAATATTATTCTGGAACCTAATGGACCAGGAACCCAACAGAGACAGACATAGACACGAAAATATCTTAGAAACAGAGGACAATATGACCCTGGGGAAGGGGTATCCCAAATATGGACAGGATGGAGATCCGTATCTCTGAAACATCAGCCAGAGCATCTCTGGGTTACTGAAAGTTCAAAAGTGGGAGCATTTTATGTCTTTTCATTTTGTCCTCTTTTGTTTTTATTCATATTTATCATTGTTTACACAGAGGTCTTTAACATAGTTCACTGGAATAGTCTTTCTTACATTTCTAGTAAAGATAATTCTAATTTGGGAAGATTTGTAAGCATACCATCTGAAGGGTTCTCTTGAAGGAAAACAGGATGATAGTACAAACATAAATGCTCACTGGCTTCCAGCTATACCCCAGTGCAGTGAAGGTTCTTGAGTGAACCTCCAGTCTATATGCCCTGTTCACTTCGTGGTTCTCTTGGTTAAAGTGAAGGCAGACTTGGAAACCTATCTAAATACTTAAGCGCAGATGATTTTTCTATGTTCACAGAGTACAAAGAAATTTCATCTTTCTTTCTTTTCTTCCCCCACTCCCTCTTTTTAGCAAGAACCAGATAGGAGCAATTAGGGTATTATGAGCCCTATCCAGGAAGAGACATTAATCTCGAGTCATGCTAACTCCAATTATGTGCTATCTGCCCCCTAAATATAGGAACATGGAAGGATTATCCTATCTAAGGACCAAAATTTACATCTTTTGTGAGTCTATGGTTTACCTAAAAAACTTGTGAGACTTCTGTGTAAACAATTAAATTTCTGCATTTAAATTAACTGTGGGCTGGAGCGATAGCACAGCGGGTAGGGTTTGCAAGTGGCCGGCAAGGCCGACCTGAGTTTGATTCCTCTGCCCCTCTCAGAGAGTCCGGCAAGCTACCAAGAGTATCTTGCCCGTATGGTAAAGCCTGGCAAGCTCCCCGTGACGTATTCGATATGCCAAACACAGTAACAAGTCTCACAATGTTACTGGGCCCACTCAGCCAAATCGATGAACAACGGGAGGACAGAGACAGTAACAGTGAAATTATCTATAGGACAACATTGTCTCTTGTTTTCCTGTGTTAGTATTAAACATGACAAGGTAGTATGTGGCTTTTAAAACAGTATAAAGCACAATTCCAACTAAATAAAGTTAGTCATCAGATCAAAGGCATACGTATTCTAAAAGAAAAAGCACAAAAATCAACCTGTCTCAGTCAAATTCTTATGTAACTACATATGCTTACCTGTGTTATTTTCCAAGCATAATTTACTGTGACTAAGAATATTAAGTGCTTGGGACAGGAGAAATAGTATAGGGGTTCTGGTATTGTCAGAAATAACAACTAAGCACAGAGCCAGGAAAAAGTTCCAAGTACCACCAGGGAGAGCCAAACACTACTCCCCTTAAAATTCAGCTCACATAGAGATTTAAGGATGCTTGATGCTTATAATTTTTGTACATAATTCCACTTTCAAACTATCTTCCACTTTCTTTTGATAAAAGTTGATTTGTACTCAGACTATTAGAAGTTATTCACTTGTAGGTGGATACTTTGAATTTATTTTAATTAATTATTTATTTTTGATTTGGGGGCCACACCTGGTGATTCTCAGAGGTTATTCCTGGCTCTACACTCAGGAATCACTCTTGGAGATCCTAGGGGATCATATGGGATGCTGGGATCAAACCCAGATCAGTTGTGTGCAAGGCAAGTGTCTGCTGTGTTATCACTCTGCCCTCAGTTATTTTGAATTTAAAACACAGAAAAACTGGGGCCCTCTGAAGAGTTGGCACAATAGAGGGTTAAATCTTGGTACCACATGGACTCTCAGTACTTTTAGGAGACATCACCAAGCACTGAGCCAGAAATATCCTCTGAACAATTCTGGGTGTACCCTAACAAACGAACAACAACCCCCAAAAGATTTCACTTTTTAAATTAAACTTTTACATTCCATTTATAAAAGTAAAGATGATTCTAGACAGTAACAAACGCATTTTGCATGTAATTTGCTGCCATTTTCCCCAGAGGACATAGTTGATAAGACATAGAGAAAATCCTTTATGAATGGTGATTTTTTTACCTGAAGATAGTGAATATGTAACTTCTGCATTATTTCCTTCATCAAGATCCTTTGCGAACACAGTTGTAACCAACATGTTTACCGGCTGACCTTCCAAAACCTGTCAGTAAAACAAAAGGCCAGCTTATAAATGGGTCAGTTAAACTTTACAAAAAATCAGCAATGAACTTTATAATCCTTTCACAATAATCCTCTATGAAGGATTATTAATGATAAATAATACATTCCTGCTAGATATTTTAAATATAATTCAATATCTACTATATAGTATCTACCCAGGCATTAATTTGTGAAAAGAATAAACACATTTTAAATCACTCTTCAGCAAATTAAGCTTTTTGAACCAATTTTATTTTATAAAGTAAGTAAGTAAGTAAAGGCCCTCCCGTTGATCATCGATTTGCTCGAGCGGGCCCAGTAACGTCTCCATTGGAGACTTTGTTGTTACTGTGTCTGGCATATCGAATACTCTCGGTAGCTTGCCGGGCTCTCCGATAGCAAAATTAAATTAGCAGGCCAATCATAGTTTTTTTTTTTTACCATATTTTAAGAATTGTAGCATCTTTTCACTTATTGTGCTCTTGGGAAATTTTTAAAAATGTTAGCATTTTGTTCCAAAATACACTCAATGTAAAGTTCCAAAATACACTCAATGTAAATATAAACCTTGGCATTACAAAGCATCCCTTGGGGCTGGAGGGACTGTACAGTGGGTAGACCTATGTTTGATAGTCAGCATCCCAGACAGTCCCCTGAGCCCTGCCAGGAGTGATTCCTGAGCACAAGGCCAAGAGTAAGCTCTGAGCACTGCCAGGGGTGGCCCTCGAACCAAAATAAATATATAAAATTTAAGAAAAAAATTTAAGACACTTCATACAGGAAACATATGTCATTAGTTAACTTTTCAGGAATACTAAAATTTACATGTGAAATTGAACTTCACATTTAGAGCTTTATTATCCATTTAAGCCACAAAATACTTTAATGGCATAATAGCGATTGCATCATAATATTTCGCTTTAGTAGCATTTTCTTGAGCTGCGGCTTTGGAAGATGAACTTAAAATTATTAACTTCCTTTATGTTTTGAGTTGTTCCAAATGCTTATCACAGCACAACCGAAATGTCCAATACTTTTAGGGTAATAGCTTAAATATTTTCCTTCACATAAATCACTCATATTTTCAAGTATGAGTGCCTTCAAGACATATTTATTGATTCATTGTGTACATGAACTCATATGCTAATTCATTGTGATCTTATAAAACATACAAAGGAATGGAAGTTTAAAAGATGAGATAATACAAACGTGAGAGTTGCTGCGTGTGTTCAAAATGATCATCTCTCACCATTTTATCTTGTTTTTTTTTTTTTTGGTTTGGGGGCCATGCCCACAGGGGCTCAAAGCTTATCTGGCCTCTGTGTTCAGAGATCACTGCTGGCAGGGCACCAACCATCACATAGGGTGTGAGGGATCAAACCCAGGTCGGTGGTATGCAAAGCAAGCACCCTACTCGTTTTACTACCTCTCCAGCTCAATATTTCACCATCTTTAGAGGAATCTATGTCCACTTTAGAACTTCAGAAAGTTCCTTTCTTTTTCACGAAGCCTCTTAGCGATGCCTATCAACTGCTTCTGAGGATTTCTGCACTCAGGGAGGAAACAAAACTTGGAGAGAGGGGGAAAAAACACCATTTTTGAGCATTACTGATGATGCCTTTCTATATTTGTGAACAACGGGCATAAATACATATCGTCAAACAATGGACTTTTTAAAATCTATAATATCGCATGCACCCATTTTATTTGATTCTGTACTGTCGTGGAGTTTGGTTGGAGCTAGGCAGTTTCAGCTAGGACAGATTTGATAAATTCACCCTTTCTACCACAAGATGGTGCTCAAAACAAATGACTAGGAAGACTGGGCTGCTGGCTAGGCTGCTCCCCGCCTCGGACCTTGATGTGCAGTTGCTGTCCAGGGAGGCACTGTGGGAAGGAGGGTGTGTTGTCATTGATGTCCATCACAGTGATGTAAACCGTCATGGTGGCATTTCGCGGTGGGGCGCCGTGATCGGTCACTAGGACGGTCACCTGGTGATGCTCCTGACGTTCGCGATCCAGGCCGACCCAACCGACCAGTTCACCTGAAGAGTACAGAGCAGGAACAAAGAGACTGACTTGAACCCAGGCACTCGGTCACAACTAAAACAATTTGCAGAATAGAAAAAAAAATGCACACGGCTTTATTTATATTCTTGTAGTTTGGCTCCAGTGCTCAGTGATTTTTTTTCCCCAAAGATCCACCTGAATGCCTCTTTAAATTTGTCCTTTCTTAAGTTGCAGTAACCTACCGTGAACCATGAGAACTCTGAAAAAAGTGACTTCATAATCATTTGTCAAACAAATGATGAAATACTCTATGGGGAGCTTTGTAAGAATGCATATTTTAAATGATGGCATTTCCCTGTTAATGCTGCCATTTAGAATAAATGCTCTGAGGCCGGTTCCAGTGTTTCCACAATAGACACATAAATACCTCTCTGAGCCTAGTTTCTGAGTTATTGGAAACAAAAGCAATCATAAACATGACAGTGTTTTGTAAATTATCGATTATCATACATATGGTTGTTATCATTACTTTGCAATAATGACATAATACCTCTCCCCACCAAAATGCATTCTTAGGTAATGATTTGTCTCTTATGCATAGAGCTATTTATTATTCTATAATATGCATGCAGGATGCACGGTGACTTTACAAATATCTCTTATTGTTTTATAAGCTTTATTTTATGTGTCATAGGCAAGTTGCCTTTATGTTTTAGCCATTGAGATTCTGACATTAAATTGTAGATGCCTCTACTTATCGCCAAGAACCCTGGAGGCCAGCAACTCTGTCTCCTGAAGCTGATGTCCATCTAGCATTGATTTCCTAATTATTTATGAAAAGATGTGTGAGAAAGCAAACAGGAAACAAACAGGAAACTACAGGAATACACTTCCAGATACATTAAAAATAGTTCACCCTCTATCCAAATGAAAAGAGTATGCAACACCAAACTAAAAACTGAGATCAAAAATAAAACCAGGAAGTTCATGTATGAGTATGTTTAAAGGCAGTGTTTACTGTCTACTCACTATAAAAATTAATTTTAGTGTTCATGATAAGTGTCATATTTAACAAGTCACACACTCAACTGGATTTTTTAATGGTAGTACATTAATCACTTTATCGTAATTTTTTTTTACACAACTGGATTTTTGTGGGTGAGGGGCGTTTGTTTTTTATTTTTGTTTGAGCCACACTCAACAGTGCCTAGGGCTCACTCTTTTCTCTGTGTTCAGGATCACTCCTGGTAGTGCTCAGAGGACCGTATGCTGTGCTAGGGATGGAACCAGGACTGGTTGAATGAAAGGCAAGGGCCCTACACCCTTTGCCCTCACAACAACTACATTTTTGAATTTTCAAACTTTAATTCTCTGTAAATCCTAGCTTTTGAATGTAAAAGCATTTGTAACTAACTCTGACAAACTGATTGTTTGGAGGTCAGTGGTGATAAAGATTGTGAGGCTCGGCCTGACAATGAGTGTGGGTAATGGTGATACAAAATCCCAGT